AATCACTGTGTAAAGTATGCATGCCCCTTATAATAGGCATTTATAACAGGGCAGTACAGTGTCTTAGAAAGGGCTTTTGTCTGTGTGTCAGCAGAACTGTGCTTGAGTTCCATTCCCACCCCATCCCAGCTCTGAATTCAGGGCAAATTTCTTACCTTCTTTGTGCCTTAGGATCCCCACCTGTGAAATGAGGGGCTTGTACTGGAGATCTCAGGTCCATTTCAGCCCTAAAACACTATAACTTAAGCCATAGTTGTATTTTTCCCCAAAATTATTTTTGAGATACAGAGATGTCACATTTTTTTGGTTTTATGACACCTTGTTGGTCTCACCTCTGGTTGATGTGTCACCACTCGTTATTGGAATAATGCATGGTGCCAGGTGGAAAACATGAATCAAAGTCTGCTTTCCAGCATGGCTTTTAGGAATGCATTGTGGTGAAAGGTGAGGAGATCTATTCACAAAACAACTGAGTCGTGGAGAATACTAAGCAATAAAGATGAAGTAAAGATGAATGGTAGGAAAACTGGTCCTCATGGACATCAGAAAGGAAGGAGAGAGAGCTAGCTGTTCCCATGTTGTTCTGGAAGGACTTCGGCAAAGAGCATTGTCAGGATGAGCAGGATCTCAGTTTTCAGGAGAAAAGGACTGTCTCTTGTTTGCTTGGCTGGGATGATGGAATGAAGGTAGAGGCATGGGCCAAGGCATGGGGAGGAGGCTTGGGGGGAAGCAAAGGTTCTATTTGGAAGATGGAGGGAGCAATCAATTTGCCTTGAAGAGGCAGAAGAAAAGACTGCAATACAGAAAGGTAGATGTTGAACTGAATACCAGCAGTTGACACTGCTGTGAAATGTAACAGATAGAGCACATTCAAGTAGTAATATTTAATCTTTTTATTAAAGATTGAACAATTAATAGGGAATTGGGACTTAGAAAGGGGTAAAAAGAGCCTTGGAAAAGAAGAATACAAAATGAGCCCTGTACATCCCTGGGAGGACCCACAGAGGATAGTGTGAAGGTAGTTTTGGGCTCTCAACTTTCATATACTTTATAAACTTTTAATCTAACATTGATATGCCCAGGAACATGCTTGGATGCCCAAGAGACTCTCCTACTTCGTCTTCCACGATCTTCCAGCTCTTATTGAACCTCACCATTGTCTCAAGGTATAAAAATCCCTTGGGTGGGGAAAAATGTGAAGATTCAAAATGTTTGTGTTTGTCAAGACTCCTTTAATTAGGGCGCTGCACCATCCTTCCCATGCATTTCATTAAAGGATTAGATTCCAATAAATTTTGCTTTTTAGGTTGAATAATAATGTGTCAAAATGTGTAATGCACTTAATTTGTTTTGTTCAATTGTGTGCTGCTAATGATTGAAATACTTTAATGATAATTTAACCCAGAAGAACATTTTTAACAGAGTATGATGCCCATGAGCATTAAAAACAATATTTTAATTTTTAATACACATATTTTTTGCAAGATGTATAATGGGGTGATCTTAAAAAAAGAGCTGGTGTGTAGCTAATAATCCTATGCAACTGATCTTATATAGTTTGTAGTCTATTTTGGAAAATCTGTCAGGAATTGGAACCACTCAAAGGGAGCATTTGATTTGTTTTGTTTTTTTCAAATGGCCAAGTCAGGCATCTGGTTATGCCAAAAATCAAACAAACCTTTGAATTCAAATATAGTCAGCTACCAACTATATAATCTTAGATAAACTGCTTCACTTCTCTGAGCCTCAGTTTTCTCCTAAGTAAACTGGCGATATAAGACATATCTAGTAGTTTTGATTTGAAGAGTAAATGAGATATTGATGTGAAGTGCTCAGTACAGTTTCAGGTACATGGAAAGCTCTCCATCAATGGTCTCTCTCTCTTTCTCTAACTCTCGTTATATATAAAAAACTCAAGTTGATTGTAGATCAGTCATTAAGTTAAGTATAGCGGTACGAAGTAACTACACGGGTGCGGTGACTGGAATCTGCTTCAGATTCTCTCTCCCTCTCCCTGTGCCCCTCCCGTTCATGCTCTCTCTCTCTCTCTCTCAAATAAATAAATAAATAAATCTTTAAAAAAAAAGTAACTTCACTTGTAAAATTATCATAGAAGAAGGTGAGTAAATTATTTTTTTTTAAAAAAACCAAATACTGGAAAGGCATCAAAAGAGCAAGTTACAAAATAATTGCTCCTTGAAATATAAATAATACCTTTTAGTTCACCTTATTTTTTAGATTTTTGTATTAATGTAAGAAATAACTGAAAAACATTTGTTATTCACCAGTGGTTTATAACAATGAATAATAAAATAGGGAGGGAAAATGTTTGGGATGGGGGAAGAATACTACAGAGCTTTTTAGTTAATTTTGATTTATAAGATTAATGAATACAACAATTATCTGAAAGCTGATTGGAGGTATTTGAACTTTTAGGTGATAATGGCCACCCAAAATGGTTTCTTCTCAAAAAGGATATGAACTATTAAAATGTATCCCTTTAATACTGTGCAGACTTGTGCTGTAGCAAACAGTTGGTAGCGCTGATCATTGAGGCATTTAACCAAGGTTTCAAGTGAATTATGAAAACTTAGTGAAATAACCTATTTTCTTACCTATTTGTATTATCCTCTCAAACCAATTCCACCCAAGTGTTGATAATTCATTGTCTTGATTTCCTTGAATGTAAACTATTACCAGAAATTCTAGAAACTTTTCTTGGCTAGTTGTTTGGTTAATAGAAGTAAAATTGATCATTAAACTTATAATTGAAGAAGAGTCGAAAAAGAAAATCAATATGATCATTCATGAACAGGTAGGTTTATTCTCATATATCAAAGTAATTTTAATATATCCCATGACCCTTTTTAGACTTATGCATAGCTTGTACTTATGTATGTAGTTTTACAAATAATTCTTTTAGATAAGATAAAATTGCAACTATAATATTCTTATTGATGCACTAAAAAAATCTACCATAGTAGGTTTTTGAGCTGTAATTAGGATAACTACCATACTGTGTGACTCTCCATAAGCTGAATGTGTATGTTCTGTGCTATCATTTATAACAGTTTTTGCAAACTAAAGAAATTTTCACATTTGAAAATTTGGAAAGCAGTTTCAGAATCTCAACTTTGGAACATGTCTGTCTTTCTCATTTCCTGCCTCCCTCATAATCCCTGCATTTCTCCTCACCATGGAATATGCATAGGAGCGAATGGTTTGAAGACAGTACTGTACACAGTTCACACAAGGTCTTGTTAAGAAGATGGGACTGCATCTTCAACCATATGGAGTGCTGAAATTTTTGGGAACAAACCAAAATGGTAATCTGAAGTCTTATTTAGGAAACAAAACTTGTGTGACTAGAAATAGACCAACTCCTAAATATATTCTGGTTTATGTGCATTCTGGTATAAACCACATGTCACTAAGTAGGGTTTTAGGGGGTCAGTAGAGGGCAGGCATACTTTTTACCTAAAGAATGTGTACACCAGTCCAGGAACTGATTATATTCTTTTCTAGTTTGATAATTTCAAGTCTTCTCTACCCTACTGACAAATCTATACTTTACATACAGATTTTTTAATATTGTCAATCCCTTTGAGGAAATGAGTGTTCATTTTAAGACAATTTTGATTATGAATTATGACTTCAGAAATCTTATTTCTACATTTCAGTTTTTAAATTATCATATAAAATATTATCTGAAATATTGGTTTTCTCTTGGGCTTAAACAACTGAAAATAAAATTGAAGATTCCTATTAGAATTTTTATTTTTTTCTCCAAACGTTACCTGTGATAAGCAGTTAGGATAAAGTGGGTTCAAATCGCTAGACTTTGAAGCATCAATATCTTTCTCACTCAGTAGCTGCTTTATCGTAATGCAAATGATTTAACCACTGTGAGCTTCAGTGTCCTTGTTCATAAAATTAAAAAAAAATTATTTCATGATCTAAGGTCTGACTTTCCATTTTCATAGAAGTCTAACGTCCCATACTCATAGTTTGATCATTTTCCATATTTTTTCTTATAAATCATTTACCGGTCAGATTCTCTGTTTGCTGGTTCTCATAATTTCACATATGACTATATTCTTTGTTGCTGGCATTTCCTTTGATCTTCTGGTATATTTCTTGTGCAGTTAGTAGAGGAGAAGCCCACTAGAATTTATTGTTGTGACATAAGTATAGATATTTAGAGATGTAAGTGATTACCAACAACGTTAAGCCCATCCATTAAAAATTGAGGAAAGTTCTGGCAGAATTATTAAAGGACTTGATTTTGGTTTAGAGGGAGGGTCTATGAACTCAGATTAACAGACTGATGACCTTTCACAGTTCATTGGGTCTACGCTCTGTTAACTGTGTTCTCAGCCCTAATGTTTCTACTCTGATGTAATCACTGGTTGGTGACATTTATGAATAAATCTTTGGTTCTGGTGAGCTACAACTGTTCCAGTTTCTGTGTCCAGGGCTCCAGCTCCTCCCTCCATCACTGGGTTCAGAGCTGACCACGCTATGAAGGCTACCCTGAGAATTATTTAACTTCCTCCTCCACCTTCTTACAGTACAACAGGACCCCATGATGCTTGGTGAACTCCTTGGGCAGCCTTTGTTTATCAACAGACTCTGCCTTGGGCTTGTCATCCTGTAGATGGTGGTTTGGATTGTCTGATGCCCCAGATGGGAGGCAGCATAGTGTGATAGAAGGAGAAAGAGGCGGGCCTATAATACCACAACTCCGGGGGTGGGGGGGGAGGGAAGCACCAGGGCTGGTCAAGTGGCAGAGGAAGCAAGAGAAAACCATGGGAAGACACTGGTGACGCCGGGTAAGCAGGCTTAGGATTGGCTAGTTTGAATGATTTGAGCAGGCTCTGGGGCGTAGGAGCTATCCCTAGTTTTCTGGTACCTGGCCCTGGGATGATTAGGGCAGGGGTATAGTCACCCAGATTGTGAGAGCCCAAAGTAAAGGAGATGGTCGGTGCTGTGGGCTCCATATGCGGTTTGCATATGAAAGGTACGTTAGAAGGTAAGTGATTTATTATCATTAGGAATTGGCTAGCCGTGGGAGGAACAGTCCCTTCAGTATCTGCAAGGCCCCAATATGTCAAAGTGTCAAAATATGGAATAGAGGCATGCTTAATATACTCACAAACCTTAGAATTTTTCATTTGAAATAATATAAGTAACTGTGTTACAACTAATTTGACATTAGTAATAATCTTAATATTATGACTGAAAACTGTTAAGGTCCATTCATTATCTCATTTGCTCCTCACCATGATGAGGAATGAGGTATGAATTATATCCTTTAATCAGATGCAAAATATGACGATAGGAGTTTACTTGCCAATTTTACCCAATAAATAATTGGGTACTGCTCTTCACCTGTTGACTGCATTTACAAATAAAAGAAAGGGGAGGGGCGCCTGGGTGGCTCAGTTGGTTAAGCATCTGACTTCAGCTCAGGTCATGATCTTGGGGTCCTGGAATGGAGCCCCCCTGACAAGACTCCCATGTGGAGCGCCCCCGTGTGGAGCCCTCTCCGCCCACCTGTGAAACCCCCGCCTCCCTCCCACATCCAGCCCCCTCATCCAGCCCCCAAATGGAGTCCCCTTGTGGATCCCCTCACTCAGCGGGGAGTCTGTCCCTCTCCCTCTTCCTCTGCCCCACCCCCCTGCTAGTGCTGTCTCCCTCTTTCTCTCATATAAATAAATAAAGTCTTTAAAAAAATAAAAAAGAGAACAGAATTATATTTATTGAGTATCTCCTATGTGTCAAATATCTTCTTAGGGTGCTTTAGCATATTATGTTATTAACTACTAAATAATCAAAAAGATTTAAATAATATTAAATATGCTTCATAACAACGTGGAACAGAAACTATTATGCCCACTTCATAGATGAGAAAAACGAGGTTCATAAAAGTTAGGGAAGTTGTTCCAAGATTACATACCTAATAGAGGTGGAACTGAGATTTGAACCACCTTGGTCTCTTGGACCCAAGGCGGCAAACAGATTTCAATTCAAGCATCAACTTCAGTTAGTTGACAGAGTTGTGTGAAGCAGCGCAGAAAAGGGTTCTGGGGCTGTGTCTAGGCTCACTGGAAAAGAGTGTCACCATTAGTTAGTGACCTTTGTCACAGGAACAAGGGGAGAGAGTCAGCACCCAGCCATTTATTTCTCATCCTTGAAGTAGACTCTCTTTACTGTCCCTTCCACTCTGCAGACCTATTATTCTAGGTTAACTATCAGAATAGGTAATGTCTTAGCCTGCATTTCCCTGAGAGCAGAGCGTGAGACAGAGGCTTGTGTGCAGGTAGTTTCTCTGAGAATGTGACCCAGGGAGCAGGAGCAAAGGGTGGGGAAGGTGGGAAAACCGGGGTTGTGTCATGGAGGTGACCACCACTTGTGCTCCATCTAGTCTGACCTCCTGGGAAGCTGTATGAAATGTGTTGGAGAACGATCCATATGGGAGGAACACAGGGGCAGGAAGTATTTATGCATAGCCTGCTGTGCCATATTGCACCAGGGCAGTTTAAGGAGTGTTAACTCCTCTATACTTCCGGGTGGCACATATGTGAGCGTTTGGGAAGGTTTTGGCGTGTCCTCTGTCTGTAGTATCAACGAAACCCAGGGGTAGAAAGCAAGAAATGGGCTTTGCAGGTCAGGGTATTGTAGGTGAGGGCATTGCAAATCCATGACCTTGGAAAAGCTATGTTTATGCTAAGAGAGTGATGACATTTAGTCTTAAGTACTTCCTGAACTTTCCCTCTCTCCATCCTTTTCCAACTAATAGAAAGTTGAGCTCATGAGTATCAGTCTGTTTACAAAAGAGCAAGGACATTGCGCATTGATTAGTCCTATCTTATTTTTGTATCTATTATGTGCCAATCTCTGTGCTAGACTCTGTAAGCCCATAGTCTCACTCATCCTAACCACACCGTTGTGAAGCAGGTATTCTTGCCCTGCCTGGCTCAGAGGAAACAATATAGGAGCCCAGCTGAATTGCTCAAGACCGCCCCCACAGAGCACTGAGCTGAAATTCAGACAGGCCTCCAGCTGATTCCTACGCCCACACTTAATTTTACTCTGTAGGTGTTCTGATGGGGAAGGCCTTGGCTCTTGTTTGGCCAGTGCTTGAGCTCTCACCGTGGGACTCTACAAAGTGAACTCACTTTGGAGACTCAGGCCTGTCAGCATTTTGCAAGTGAGTCAACTGGAGACCTGGCCTGTCTCCATGATAAGTGCTGGAAATCCCCACCACATCTCTGACTCAGAGATGTGTTTCTTAGCCCATGAATCTTTCAGCCGTCAGGGTAAGCACAAAGTGAAGTTGAAAGTTCCTAGAAACTGCACTTTTTTTCCCCAGAAGTTCTGTAAGGCCACATTTTCTCTAGAACTGAGACACATACAATGAAACAGCACATCAAAAGTTACAAAGAAAATTAACATCAACCTCTCTATATCTGAATTTCCTCATTTATGAAGTAAAGGGTGTGGATTTCATGATCCCTAAGGTTCCTTCCAAGCTAAATTCTATGAGACTGAGGCTATACTGAAGCAGATTCCAAGGAACGTGGCTGCAACATTTCTCTTTCCTTGGTAGTTAGCACAGAGCAGATTCCGAACCTGTGTTTGCCAGACACAGCAGAATGCAAAACTGACAGGGTCCCTTTCTGCCTTCCTTTTCTCCACCCCTTTATAGTTCTTCATCCTATCCTAGCACCTATAAATTCTTCCAGCACAAACCCTGTGCTAAGAAATGGTTGGACCTTAGTGTGAAGGATCTCAAATCAGTGTATTCTCTTTCTCTGGTGTATTTGCATATTGAGATTTGTATCTAACTGAAATTAAAAGTTGTCCGCCTCCCCCATTAAAGAAATTTCGCACATCAGTCAATTTCATTTTTTGAAAGACAGGACTTTTCTGAGGCTCTAAAATCATTCCATTGGACATAAAACCCAAATTGCCCATTTGACCCCCTCTTCCTAGACTAGGAAAGAGTGCTTTTCAGTAAGGACCCTGGGGGGGCGGGGAAGGGGGGAAGGAGGGGGAGGGGGAGGAGGAAAAGGAGGAAAAAGATTGAAGAGTGGGACATGAAGTGACCACTGCCACACTCTGGAAAACAGACTCTCCTTTCCTTGTCACCTGCTGCAAACCCACCAAGGTATAAAGCAGGCAAGGTAGGCAAATGACGTGACTCTTCAAAGCAGAGGCCAGCAAACTGTGGTCCAAATCCAGCCCGACCCCTATGCCTCTTTTTGTATAGGGTGCAAGCCTAGGAATGGTTTTTACAGGTGAATATTTGCAACTGATTTGGTGATTGGCAACACTCACTTTGAACTTGTAAGTAAATAAAATGTTAACCCCCTCAAAAGAATTCCATTCCTTTTATTAATGGGCCTATATTATTTAAAAAAAAAACAAACTGTACTCAATTACTATTATATTTTAAATTTCATCAATGAGAAATACGAGGAAATTTTGTCCCCCTCTTGTTATATAGATACCTTGTAATTGATTTTTAACTCTTTGGCCACAGTGCTTGACGTATTCACTATCCAGCTCTTTATAGAAAAAGAATGTGCCAGCCCCCTGTTCAGAGGAAAAGAAATCAGGCAGTTGAAGAAGAAAAGGGCTATGGGAGAGGATACAGGGAACAGAGGCGAATGAAATGTTACAAATAAAATGGAGGAAGTGGAATGTTCTTTCTCTACTCGTGTGAAGCACTTACACAGAATCTTGAAGGACTGGCTGTCTTCTCCCTACCCCAGTGAAAAATTATCTTCTCTGTGAAAACACACAGATGCATGCATACACACATGCGGGCGCACACCCGCTGTTGGCCTGTTATGAGGGAAAAGTGACCCTAAGCCAAAATCTCAGCTCTGCGGTGAACTCATCATGGGATTTGGGGGAGATATTTCCCCCTCTGGCCTCACCACAATTCCCTAAAGTTGCCAGCAGATCTTGTGATCATTAAAGCCAGTGGGTTTTCCCACTTCCCAGTCTCCTTAAAACCTCATCTCTGACGCTGCTCTCATAATCCTTTACTCTTGTTCTTTACACACGTAGAGGCCTTGCCCAGACTTGTCCTCGGAACCCTGCCCTTCTTTCTTCACACTTTCCCTCAGAGAGCTCGTTCCTTCTCTAATCTGATCACATCACTCCTTTTCATAGCAAGGGCTAGACAGCTGGCTGTGGTAGAGGCATTTGCATCCGCACCTCCATCCCCACCAGCCCTAATAGGTGCATGCTCTTGCCATGCCTTCTTCCTGCCATGCTTCAGCCTTGCTAAATGGCTGGCCTTGGAATCCCAAGGCTCATGCCTGCTGGCCGGCTTTGCCCACCCAAATCCTCACCCTGCTCTCCTCTCTCACTTGTGCGAGACCAACTTCTGGTCCCCCATCTGCCTCAACCCTTGCCTGTAAGGGAAGTTAGGTTGAGCATTTAAACATCATTTTAAATTCAACATATCAGATTATCTTTCTGAGCACTTCCAGTTACTATCAGGGCAATCTCAGCTCCAGGGCTAAGATACAGAGAGCTTGCACATCTCAAAAAATAGGTTGATCAATGTAAATCATCAGGTATGCACAAATATTCCAATACTAGAAAAGAGATCCTGTACTTTTTGGACAGGCTTTTTTAAAAAACTCAGTCAGATCCTGTGTGCTACTCCTCCATGGTCTCCTGCTCCCATCAGAACAGAGTGCACGTTCTGGCTGGGGTGAAGGACCCTGGTAGAAGGCCCTCCCACCTTCTGCCCTAACCACCCCCACCCCCTCGCCTGCACCGGGCACCAGCCACACTGGCCTCCTTGTTCCTTGATGTGCCAAGCTGTTTCCCCTTTGCACTCCTGCTCTTTTGACTACAACTCTGCCCCCATGTTCCCGTGATGGGTTTGAGACTGTCATCTAAAGTGCAACTCAAGTGTCATCTCCCCAGAAAGGCTTTTACTTAGCCACCCTCTCTAAATGCTGTCCTCTCATTGTGTTACATGAATCCATTTCATTTTCTTTATAA